GGGGGTGGCATCAAAATTCAGAAGCCAGGAGAAGCAATGTCACTTCTGGGGGTCCGGTTTCCCCTGGACCCACCTCGATTATCATCCCCTCTCCCTGAGCCTTGTGGGTAATTGTCTCCTCTGTGGGACTCCGATTTGGGTTTATGATACCCTAGTAGTTAGATGACACAGATGCTACCAGCCACGACCAGAGAAAGTTTCTAAACAGGCTTTTCCTTCCCAAATCTTTTTAGCTGTGTCGCAGTTTCTGCGTATCACAGCAGTGCCCCCTAGAGTTGACTAGAGGAAGGAAGAAGCAGATAGTGAGTTTTCTTCCTCTGAAAGGTCTTGTTTGACCATCTGTGTTTCTCAAATTGTGTCTGATGGGCTGCTTGAGAAATTACGCATTCCTAACCCTAAGTCTGTCCGTTTGTAAATCATTCCATAACTTAATCTGACAGGCACTCGGGATGTTTCAGAACAGCTGTGAAACAAGGTGGAATAGCTTGCCCAATGGGAACAAATCGGAAACTCATCTCCCTGGGGTTGGTAAATTTCCCTCAAGGTAAGTCGAGTGGTTTGAAGATACTTAAAAGATCTTCAAATGTGGGTCTCTCTCTCAGGAGAATCAGCCAAATTGGGTTCCTCCATGCCCTAACGTGGATTTTTATCTGACCTTACCAATCAATTTAGTCGCCCTCAAACCCTGTGCTGAGAGGACAAAGGCCAGTCCTTGGTGTCACAGCATGAAGGAAGTATGGGGAATGACTAGAAAGATGACCTCATGTACATAAATCAAACCCAAGTCATTTTCAAAGTCTTTGGGAAATTCAGAGAGAAGACTCCCTGCCCTGGTGTCCCCGAGAAGCCCCAAGTATTGCTTCAACATTCCCACTACCTAGGAATTGTGCTCAAAAGTTCCAGTCCTGAAAACAATGCTTTAAGACAAAAGCAGTGGGGGAAATTCCCGCCCCACCACAGACCAATCTTCAAGACATGCAAATGGGAAGAAGGATCGCAGCTCCGCAGCCCTGGCAGTGGGGTGGCGGAGCCACACCTGGCATCCTAAGAACAGTAACACCCCATTTGCATCCTAATGAGGAAGCACACCCGCTATGGTGTGCCTCTGCAAAGGACCAGAAGCTCCTTCATCCTTAGAACAACAGAAGGAGCAAGCCAAGAACCCCTCGGCTTCAATCGCAGCGTTGAAAGAAGAGCCCGCTCTCCGAGTCATAACGTATATACATTATCACTTACATCCACTGCTTGGGTATAACTAATTCTGGCCTGGACCATCTCTGGAGTGTCTTTAATACTGGTAAACTTCAAAGCATCTGGTTGCTGACGGTACTTCTTCTGTTGAGCAGAAAAAGATCAAAGCTGTGAATTTTGTGCTGCTCTTTCATGCCATTTGAAAGAGAAAATCATAGGTTGCTTGAGATTAGAGTGAATTTGTGAACATAATTATTATTCGGCTTCCTCCATCTTTATATCCTAGGTGTCTTCAGGTTAATATTTGTTTCAATTTAAGAATAACCTCATGTCAATTAACATTAGAGGATTTCTACGTGGTGCAAAGAAAACATCTCTAAATTAGAATTATGTCAGTAAACTATGGTGGGAGACATACTTAGGTTTCAATTCTTTTTATAGGTTTCAAATACTGTCCTGCGGTTGTTTACATATCTAAGTCTCAGTCACCCAAGAAAGAACATTCACAGTTACACTTAGCAAATGAAGCTTTCTGTTTTCTGTCCTCAAAAGGACAATGGCAGGGGTTATCATAGTCAAAACCCTTGCAATGAACAGACATGGAGTACATACTACCCGATCCTTTCAGGATCCAGTTCTGTTAACCTACTCAATAATTTCTTAAAATGTTAAAATAACAAGGAAAGGGATGCTATTATTGCAAGAGGTCATCATAAAATTTAAAAGAAACTGACACATAAAAAAAAAACTAACAAAAAATGCAAATGGTGGTAAAAAAAATAACCTAGATATATTTTGATGTATTCTAAAAATCATGCTAAAATGAAATACCTACTTAAAAAAAAAATCAAGTCCATATCCAGAAGACTAAATAGGTCATTATCTTTATGGAATTAAGAAGTGTAATGATTTTATAAACACATCCTCATTTGTCAGGTTTGGGTTTTTGAATATGCAATGGTCTTAAGAAGATAGAGCTGAAGACCCAGCCAAATCTGGCCCAGTCCTTGTTTTTGTAAATAAAGTTTTCTTGGAACACCTTGGTGCTCATTCATTGCAATACAGTCTGGCTGCTTTCATGCTATACTAGCTTGAGTTGAGTAGTAATAACAGAAACCATGTAATCCATAAAGACAAAAATATGTATTATTGATCCTTTACAAAGTAAGGTTTGCTGATTCCTGCTTTAAATGATAGGGGTGTGTGTGTGTGTACATGTGTGTCTGTGTGTACAAACGTGCATCTTGGGTTCTTTCAACATGTGCATCTGTGGGTCTTTCAATAGTGCCCGACATTCCATCTGGAAATGTAGAGGTCAGCCCAATTGGTCACCAAACAAGAAATGAGGTGACTGGCTTGAGTGGCTGGAGATGCCTTGCCCTGCTGAAGCCTGAGTGTATGAGGCAAGGCCATCGTGGGAGATATGCAAGTGGGTTGAGCTATTGTAAAATGGAACACGAAAACCCAGTAGCACAAGTGGTTTCCAGAACATTCCCGGTTGCCAGACTTGGCTGCAGGAACCATGTTGCTGTCTAAATTATGTATCCAGTGGTCTTTAGCCTTCTTGTCTTTTCACTGGTGGGCCCTGCCCATGTTGTGACTCTGGGTTCATGACTCCTCAAACCTCTCTGCCCCCTGAGGTTCCACATGTCCATCTTCCTAAGGGGTCTTTGCATGATTAGATGAACTACTTAGGGCAGAACAGTCTCCTCTGAGCTCCCTGAGTCTCCTGAGTCTGGAATTAGTGAGTATTCATTAAACTTAGACCAAACTCAGAGAAGCTACTTTTGAAGTCAGCTTGGTGATGTGACAGGAAACCCAGGCCTCTTCCATGGGGGAGCAGCATGGCCTGGCAACTGTGTTTGAGATACCAACACAGTGTCTTGCTGTCTTAACTATTCGTGAGGGATAAAGGTCCTAGGGCTTGTGTCAAGGCCAAGTCTCCTGGGGCAACAGCCATTGGGGTCTCCTCTTTACCACAAAAAGTCCAGGAACATCAGGCTACTCTGAAGGCGACCAAACAGATGCCCCCTGGCCTTCTGAGACAACCTCTCCCCCAACAGATGTGAGCAGAAGCCCACGGTCACCCCTGGCCTGGTGTGGCCAGTCGGTCACTCTCCCCCTTTTGGCAGAGTGTGGAGACAGGTGTGGCTGTCACAGCTGGCAGAGGGAGTTCCGGGCACCTGTGGTCAGAGGCCAGGGATGCCACCTGATCCCAAATGAGGCCCAGCACAGCCCTCCACAACCACCCCGGCCTCCCCAAAGAAAGGCCAAAATCTCAGCAGCACGGCACTGAGACTGAAAAACCTCACCAGGGATCTGCTAGGCCAGACTGTCCTGCAATACAAGGAAACAGCATTTTCTAAAGGGGTCTCCCTACGGGCTCAGCTCGGGAAGCTCCAGGAGGGTGGGCGTGAGGTTTGAGCAGAAGCAAGCCCCTCTCCAAAACAGAGACACGAGCGTCACGTGGGAAGACCACGAGAACATTTAAAAACTGTTTACACAGTGGCAGAGCGAGACAGGGAGAGATGCGTATCGATCACAAGAGGCTTTCCGGGGGCAGTAAATGTCTCTTTTCATCATCTCTCCTGTGTTGCTTCATTAGAAAGGTAAGTTGGTGGGTAGCAATTGAGCTCCGTTTGATTGTCATTATTATTCATAATATCATTTGTCACCCACTTTGTTTTTGCTGGGGCTCTGCGGGCCCCTGACTGGTGTGTGTTTGGTATGTGCTGTCCCTCTAATTACCAGCCCGAGTCTGGGTTTGGAGGCCTTTCATGTGGCTCTGCCTTTTTCTCTGCCTTTTGAGTGGAAATTATTTTAATTTTATACAGAAATGCCGCTCGCCGAATGCAGCCAGGCCTGTTGCATGCTGTCAGGAAATCTCACCTCGCTAATGAGTTCTCCTGCCTTCTTCGCCTGCTCCACATTTAATGACCCGGTGGCGACCCAGCCTGTGCCTTTCATCCACTTCACATCTGCCCTGTATTGGTTCTGACAAAGGAGAGAGAAAAAAAGACAGGCCATTGTTGCAGCACAGACATTTAAGGGGCTATTAATGGCTCCCCGAAGAAGCCTTGGTGCCAGCTGAGTCAAATTAGATGCCACTTTTGTCTTATCCGTTTCCGCACAGTCACAGGTAGCGCGCCAAAATGTAAATGAATCCCCCCTTTAATTGGCACGGTCCCGGGGACGGCGGCTCTCAGCCCCACCTGCCTCCACTGGGGGTGCCGCGGGGCTGGGGGGCAACCTCGGCCTTCATTACAGACTCACGTCTACCTCGAAAGAAGAGGGTCCTATTGTCTGCTTCCCTGATTCCTTGTTGAAAATGACATGCAGGGGAGGAGGCGATGAGAACTCACAACCGAACCCAGGTGGGGAGCTATTTGAGGGAATTTCACAAGACGGCCGGCCGAGGCTGCCCACTGTGCGGATGTCTTCCTCCTACCTCTGCGTGGGGCCCCGGTATTTCTCATTTCTCTACTTGCCATTGAAGGAGTCCTTTGAATGGGAAGCCACTTAAATGGTCACTGCTCTAAAAGTAGTAATGCATCTATCCCGAATCAGCTCTACCTGCCCACACTGCCTGCACCCCCCAACCCCAGGCAGGCGGCAGCTCGGCTTCAGCTGGCCTGCTTTTTCAGTTCACCTACCTTGTTGCACCAGAGTCTGGTGAAGACAAAAGAAAACAGAACCAGGGAGGGAACGTCAGGAGAAAGGGGCGGGGTGTGAGATGACAGAGAGTCATTCTTCTCAAAAAGGGGGCACTGAAGTTGGAGAAGGCCTCAATGGGGCGCTTGCCTGGCAGGCCACAAATGCATCTCCCCGGGGTAATAAAAAGAAACATGAAAAATATAGGTAGATCAGAATTCCGAGAAGGAAGAAGTAGCTTTAGGGTTTTCTGTTCGGTAGGACAGCGTGTAAAATGGGCCTAGTTGAATAAAAGTTGAACCACCAGGAAGGTGAAAGGTGCCACTTAGGGATCCAGAAATGTACATGTATGAGTGATGGTCCTGAAGGGACACGCCAGCACACACACACACACACACACACACACACGTGCGCGTGCACACGGCTTACGTCGCTCTGTAAGCTGTACGCCTTCTTGGCCCATTCCACTTTCATGTCTGTGGGCAAAGCCGTGAAGTGGTGCAGCGCTGTCCTGTAGCCCACGTCCGTGGCGAGGCGCTGAGCCTGGCGGGCGTGCACCAGCTGGCTCATGTCCAGGGAGACGTGGCACTGAGACCTGGAGTCCTGGAGACCCTTCTTATACTCTAGCTCGCTCTGCAGCTTGGACATTTGCAGCGAGTGGCTTATTTGCGAATCCCCCTGGGCACCATTCGCCCCGATGAGTTTCCCTCTGGACCGCTCATAATCCTCCTTGTACTTCACCTAAGTAAGAGGGATAGATTAGGGGAACATTAGAATCTTCTAAAAGAAGTGATTTCATGCCATCGGCAGTGAAGTCAAAACAAAGCCATACACAGGATGTTCCTACAATTAGGTTCTCAAAACATTGTCTCCTTCGGACACGCAATATATTTCTTTTGTTCAAATAGTGAAACGAAATATTACTGCTCATTGTTTCTCTTTTCCCCTCAGGTGCCAGAAAGCTCAGAGCCAAAGCAGCCATAGAAGTGTCTTTTCCCAGCTTCCCTGTGAAATTTCACCTTTAGGGCCTCCCTGGTGGCACAACGGGTTAGAGCATAGCACTGTGACTCTCCGCAGCCACTGCCACATGAGTGCAAGTCCTGGCCAGGGAGTGACCCACACGGTGCAGCAGACCTCTCCTGTCCTGCCCGCTGCGCCCCTCAGCAGTACTTCAGTAGATCTGCCTGTCCTGCTCCCCACTCTGTATCTGGTGAATCCTCTTACCCCAGGCACCTCTGGCCTGTACCCCAGTTCTTGTATGCATAAGTAAATAAATATTTAAAAATAAAATTCCACCTTTAAAGAGGTTGTCCTTTCTGGATTTATTTTTCAACTGCCTGTTGTTTGCACGAGAGCAATATCCTTGTTGGCAATAAAGGTCCGGTTTTATTTAGGACAAGTAAAAATAAAAAGTGAATTTTAAATCCTTTTTGGTAATAGTGAAAACCCTACATATCAAAAACAGTCATGAAATGAAAAAGACACAGCGTCCAAAATACAAGGGCTCTTTGAGAAAGGAACTCACACTAAAGAACCGCTAGAGTAGGTATCAATAAATAATTGCAGGTATTGGGACATTTTCCCAATGACTCTGGAAAAAACAAAGCACTAGACAAAGAGTAATGAGGATCAGGGGAAAGAACAAGTAGAGAATGCTTTCAAAACTGATGGTATCCACTGGGGCTCATGTCCTGGCTTTCAACTTTTTTTTAAATATTTTTTTATTTATGCATACAGAACTGGGGTATAGGCTAGAGGTGTGTTGGGTGAGAGGACTCACCAGAGACAGTGGGGAGAAGAACAGGCAGATGGACTGAAATACACTGCTGAGGGGAGAGGTGAGGGTGTCAGGAGAGGTCTGTTGTACCCTGTGGGTCACCTCTGGACCCAGAGATCAAACTCACACTGCAGTGGCTGCAGAGGGCTTCATGATGTGGTGCTTTAACCAATTGCGCCACCAGGGAGGGCCCCTCAACTTCACCTTTACTGTGGCTGTGGCAGACCTGGCCTCCACTCTCATCTCTGCCAACGAAAGGACCAATATCTTCTGGCATTTACTGAACACTTACTATGGGCCAGTGTCCAAAGGAGGCCAGCACAGACTTGTGCCTCCTCAGTGCACCTGCAGACCAGCGCTGGTTTGTAAAACTCACCATGTGATGAGCTAAAATGCTATGTCAGAAAGTAGGTCAACCAAGCCACTGTTCAGCTGCTACTTATCTATATGCGTGTATTTAATATACACACTAAGGATACGAGGTGTCCATTTCACAGGCAAAATATACATAAATGTTCAACATAAGTATAAGCACACAGAGCACGTATATAACATGCAACGTGTGGATGTGTATTATATGTACATATGAGCATAGGTACATGGCTTGTGTGCAAAGATCTGTATTTGGGAGGTTTGACGCACATCCTGGCCCAGGCTCCTCACATCAGACTCACCACAGTGCTTCGAACGCTAGAACACTTAATACTCCTCAATCCTCGTCATTTCCTCAAGCTATTTTCAAAACTGTCAATTTGACAATAAGTAGCTGAAATTTTGAACCGTCTCCCAACTGACCAGAAGCCAAGTGCCAGCAGGGGATGGAGCGGGGCCTTCTCCATGTCTGTCTCACACCAGAGCCCATCAACACGCCTTCCTTCGAAACCCACAGAAAGCTCTGGCCTCCACTTATCTGGGTTTCCACTCTGGTTACTACTACCCACCAAGCAGCACCAAGTGCAGGAGGCGCTGCAGGGGGCCCTCACTGACAGAGCGTGACGTTTGTCTACAGTGTGCCGACTGGAACCCTGAGGCTCAGAGGGGGTGAGAAACTGCTGAGGCTCCCTCCGATCCCCCAGAAGTAAACAGGACACATGGAGCACAGTCCATGTCAGGGCCGACTCACCTCGCTGGCCAGGTCCCTCTTGGCTTTGGCTGCCAGGAAGGCCAAGGAGTCAAGACGGAGCTCGAAGCCTTTCGCCTTCTGGTTTTCCCAGCTGCTCTTATATAGTTTCTAAAGAGATTTAGAAGAAAAGTGTCATCCCCATGTGAGAGGGCTTCCCTAGACTGCAGAACCATCTCCTGGAGAGACTAATACCGATGACACAGTCCCATAGAAAGCCCTAGAACAGGTCCTTGCCAAGAGGTTAAGTCTCAGCGCTGTGAAGCCCTCAGCAGCCACTGCAGCACAAGTTTGATCCCTGGCCAGGGAGCTGACCCACACGGTGCAGCAGACTTTTCCTGACCCGCCCGCTGCTCCCCTCAGCAGTGTATTTCAGTAGATTCACCTGTTCTGCTCCCCACTGTCTCTGGTGAATCCTCTCACACCTACCCCTATCCACCCTCCCTTACCTCTGGCCTGCACCCCAGCTCTTTTATGTATAAGTAAATCTTTAGAAAAAAATTTTTAAAGAAGCCCTAAACCATATTTGCTGAGGTAAGAAGCTATGCGTCTGAAACCCAGAGTGCTGTAAACCAATGTTACCCCAACATAAAGAAAAAGAATGACTAAGCAAAAGGTTCAAGCCCAGGCAGTGAGGTGCCGTCAGCTGAGCCGTCAGCCCTCCATCACTGCCCGTCCTGTTTCAGTGCCAGCGCCTGCCCCGCTGAAGTGAGGCAGCTCATGTCTACAGAACACGGTCCTCCCCTAAAGCTCTGGCATGGAGCAAGCTTGCAACGAGCAGATGCACATAACCTCAGCTGACACAGACACCCCCGGTGGCCGCGGGTTTGCTGACCAGGCCTCCACACGGGGAAGCCAAGGCCAGGGCCACCGGCGGCACTACCCCGTACTGTACCTCACTGAGGTTGGCAGCGTTGGCCCGGGCCTGTACAAAGAGAGGCTCATCCTTGCTGATGTTGTACTGGTGCATGGACTGCTCATTTTCTGCCTTGTAGGCCACCTGTTGGGAGAGAACAGTGGACTAGGGCAGGTGGAGAGGTAGGGCGAGGGGGCTAAGGAGGCCTGTGTGCTGCCTGGCATCCAGTGGGCCTTTACGTCTGCTTGGCTCTCCTGAGACTGGCACGGAAGTCCACTGCAAACCCAACCAGGCCAGATGTGGGCTGGCAGGATAGTAAATGAGGCCAAGGCAGGAGATGATGGGGTGGAGAGGCAGCAGCGAGGAGCTGAAGAGCATGTGGCCAAGAGGCTATCCTAAAATCCCTCTGAGGTCTTTGTTTGCACCCCTTTCCCTTGCGAAGGCATCAGCCGCCCCAAGTTGTATCCATTCATGTTGTTCACAGCTGCAGAAATAGCCCACCAGAGGGCTCCCCAAGTGGGAAAAATGAAATGTATACTCGGCCTCCTGCACCCCCATATGCATTTGTAGGTACTAACATCTGGAGGGTGAGCAAAGACAACTCGTGAACAGCTAGTTCTCTACAGAAAACAGAGAAAGCGCTTGCTCTTTCTCCTCTTCCCTCCCACACCCCAACTTGAATGTCCAAACAGCGTCTTTCTGCTGACACCATTACACTGAAGTGTCCTTTCTGGCAGGTGTCCCTGGACCCTAAAGAGGGAAAACTTAGCCATGTGGTAGCAACGATGATGACTGTACTTAGCACAGATGGCGGGTAAAGCAACCAATACTAGTGGGTGAATACGGATGTGGGGTTTCCTTGTTCCCCCCCATCCTGTGAACAGGTGGGTATGAAATGCACATATCCCACAAGCAAATGTCATCCTACTCCAAGACACTTCTTTCCTGGCTCCAGAATCATGCAGTCTCTAGTGACAGGGAAGGACAAAGAACTGGCGATACTGAAAAGAAAGACAAGTCAGCACCTGTCTCCAAGAATCAGAAGAGATGAATGGGGGGTGAGCAGGGAGGCCTGGTGTCCGGTCCCCAGAGGTGGCTCAGGAGCCTGGGGAAATTCGGCTCCAGCTTATTTAAAGGGAGCAGGCTCTTTGGCCTCTGCAGCATGACTGGGTGCCCACTGCTATAACTGGAGGCTCACAGAACTGCGATACCACAGCCTGGGGGAGACTCACCCCACTCTGCAGCCCCTGGCTCCTCTTGGCGTGCTCCATCTGGGAGCTGTCAGTCACACTGGTGAACTGCAGCTCATCCACCCTCTGCCTGTAGTTTTTCTGTTTCCAAAGAAAAGGAAGCCCATTGCATCAGGACACTGCCCCCCGCCACCTGCAGGCACCTCTTCACGCACGCTTTCTGTGACCAAGCATTTTCCTGTGGGGAGTGTTCAGCAGCTTACACAGGCCCGAGCAGGCCCGAGACTGCTACACTGCTGAGCTTTCATGGGGGACTCACATGCTTCCCCCCAGGGAGCCCCTTATTTCCCTGGGTGCGCTGGTGTGACACAGGAGAGTGAGCTGGTGTGAACGTGGACTTTCAGACATAACAACCAAGGCCCCAGTCTTGCCTCCACCCTTTTTCAGCTTCCTGACCTTGGCTGGGCACCTCACTGTATCCCGTGAGCCCCTGATCTCTGACTGTGCAGTGGGGGAAATGGCACGAGGCTCCAGGGCCAGGCGGTCTGGAAGTGAAGTTCTTAAAGTAAGGGCTGACTGTGTCCGCCATCCCTGGGATGTGTGTTGCTCTCACGACTAGTGAGACTGTAGGTGCTAAGGAAGGGAAACGCAGGCCCTACAGACGCTGATGCCCAAGTGGGGTTCTCCTGCACAAGGTCTTAGCATCCAGACCACCGAGCTCTTGACTTCCTCACCCCTGCTCCCAGTCACAAAGTCACTGGCAACTTTTCTAATGTGTCCACTGCACAGGACTCTGTGTCCTCCCAGAGGTTAGGTCCTCTGGCTTCTCCATGGGATCTGCCACATCCGATGGAAAAGATGCTGCTGGGGTTGGCTGGCTGAAGCCAAGACTTTCTATGGTCAGAGCAGGGGTGAGGAAATCCCTCAGGCTGAGCCCAAAATAGGGATTGAAATACTGAAAACTACAAATGTCTTTCCTCTATATGTGAAAAAAAAAAAATCTAGATGGTGCAATGGATTAAACTGCAACACTATGAAGCTGTCCGCAGCACCGTTCAGTCCCCGGCCAGGGAGCTGACCCACATGGCGCGGCAGACCTCTCCAGACCCGCCCGCTGCTCCCCTCAGCAGTGTACTTCAGTAGATTCACTTGTTCTACTCCCCACTCTGTCACTGGTAAACCCTCTCACTCCCCTGCATCTCTGGCTTGTACCCCAGTTCTGTATGCACAAATAAATAAATCTTTAAAAAAAAAAAAAAGAAAAGAAAAGAAAAAGAAACCCCTAGAAACCAAGGAGCTAGGCTCAAGTTACCTCGCTAGCCAGCTGTCCAGCCTTCTTGGCCTGTTCCAAATTGAGGCTACCCTCGGTCAGCCACCCGACCCCTTTCATCCATGCCAGGTCAGCCTTGTATTGCAGCTGCAAGAGAAAGAACAGGCTCTGGTGAGAAACAAGGGTGACTGGCACCATCGACGGGGAGCTAGATGATCCTTGCTCCTGCATTTGTCTTCCTAAGGCAACTTCTCCTTACTCTTTTAGAGTCAGCCCAACGCTTCTTGGTGGGGGTGAAGTCATGGGTCCACTGTAGCCAGAAGAGCATGTTGGACCTGAGTGTTGAAACACTATGACCTCGCCAAAATTAAAGAAACCCGAGACTTTTTGACCAAGGGCCATATCTATCAATCTGCTAAATTTCCAATATTTCCAATAATTGTTCTCCACTTGCTCATCCCCATGACCAACACATCCTGACTTTCACAATAGCCCTGAGCCCCAGTCCTCCACCCTTTGACCTCCACAGATACACATATCTACGTAATCTGTATCTGTGTATCCATAGCTATATCTAGGCTACATATCTCTATCTAGACCAAACATCTCTACCTTAACTGTATCTCTGCACATCTCCAGAAGTTCCTCCTAGTCCTTGTCCTCTGAGTTACGTAATAAATTCATGCACAGATTCACAATCCCATCCCCAGTGCCACCGACCAGAGAGGCATGGCAATGAGTGTGGGCTCACCTCACTCTGGAGCCCGTAGGCTTTCTTGGCCCACTCGGTCTTCATGTCTTGGGGAAGCACGGTGTATTCATGAAGTCTCTCCCTGTAGTCCAGGTCACTGGCCAGCGCTTGAGCCTTTTTAGCATGCCTGATATTTATCATGTCCATGGGTAGGTGAAAGTGGGTCTTACTCTCCTCAAAACCTTTCTTGTATTCCACCTTGAAGGTACCAAAATAAGACCGATTACTGGAAGTCTGCAGTCACAGGAGTAAGGCAGGGACAGGAAGGAGCCCATGCTCTCATGAGATACTGGTACTCTGGACAATGCCACCATCCATCAGAAGGTGCGGCCCAAGATCTGGTTCTGAAAGGCAGTAGGGGTTGGACTTGTGTTCCCACACATTACCTGTCTTTGGGAGGAATGCCTCTGATCTCTCCTAAATCTTTTTAATCTGGCTGTTCTAGAAGGAACACATTCATTCTACCCATGGGTTTTGTAAATGCTTGAGGAAACAGAGTAACAAAGCTTGGGCTCCAGAGCTGGCGAGGCTTGACATGCCATTGTCAACTGGATGACCTCTGGAAAGGGACCTCACTTCTCTGTGGGCTCACTGTTCTCCAAGGACTATGAAATAGTACATGAAATAGTAGCTGAAACTGCCTTAGTTGAGACAGGCACAGGGCACATACTTGATACATTCTAACAAGAAAGCTGACAATGATCACGACATCAATGACTGGTGATGCTGATGATAATACTGATAGCAAGGACAGTGGAGATGACAGTGATGGTATTGTGACAATGACATTGATAATGATGGTGGTAATGATCATGGTAAGACTATTTTATTGGCACTGTTTTCTCCAGCTGCCAATGTGAAATGCCAATTTATTCTGCCTAAACGGAAGCCAAGTCCTCCATGTCTCTGTATGTTTCATGACGATGGGCTTCCTTGGGCTTGTTCCACAGACACCTCCATAATGATGACCCAGGGGCCAACTCTCTCATCCTCCTCAAACCCTGCTGGCTTAACAACTTATCAGGAAATTGTGTCTTTCTGCCACATGGGAGCAGTGTGAGCTGGTCAGAGCTTCCAGCAGGCAATTGTAAGACAGAAATCTGATGCCCCCATGTCCTTTCTGCCTGTTCGGCACTGTCAGGTACATCTTGATTAGAAACCAAGTCTGGCCCGGCTAGCAGAACTCTCCCTCCCCAGAGGCTTTTATAAGTGATATTTACTAAGGTTAATCTCCAGCCATTAGAGTTGTTTATAAGCAGCGTTATTTTAAGTGTTGGAGCCTGGATGCTCCAGTAGTCAGCTAAATATTTTGTTTGGGGCCACGGGGTTCACCCAGGGCATTGTCACAATAAGCAGGATGTTTACTGCTTGACTCCCAGTAGACTAAGCTCGAGAGAGAGAGGAACCTGGCAGGTCTTGTTGGTTCTTAACATCCAGAGTCGCTCTTGGACATAGGGGTTGCTTAGTAAACACCATGGAGTGAACAGATGCAGCCTGACACCTCTGTACCCCATCAGCAGAACTGGCCACCCTTAGGAGCCAGGATTCTATGTATGTTTAAAGAAGAGTATGTCTTGGCAAGCTGAAGTGAACAAACTGCTCCTACAAATCAGAAGAGAAACTACAGGTGCAAGTCAATAAAAATGGTAATAGTCTCTGGTGAAGAAGGCCCAGGGAAAACTGAAGTCACACAACTGGCAGGAAAGGGCTGGGAGTAGAAGAAAGTTTACCTCACTGCTCATCTTGGCCACTTGCAGAGAGTGCAGAAGCCTGGAATCTGAGGCCCCCGTGACTTTGCCTTTGTTTTTTTCATATTCTTCTTTGTACTTAATCTTGAGAGAAGGAAGAAAGTCTACTGTGAGTGAGAGAAACTTTGCTACCCAAGGGACTCTGGTTTTAACAATTGGGAGCAAACAATTCTGAAAAAACACCCTCCCAGGCTTTCAGGAATCAGAAGAAGATTAAAGTATTGCAATGTTTACAATGTTAAAAGTCATTATTTTTTGCAGCAGGACCACTGACATTTGAGGGAGTCATCTCCTATGCATTTCTGAGTTACTGAGAGGAAACGTACATTGCTAGCGAGCTCTCCTGAGGCTTTGGCGGCCAGCAGAGACATGGAATCCAGCTTCATCTCAAACCCTCTCCCCTTTGTCTTCTCCCAGCCTTCTTTGTATTTAACCTGACAAACAAAAACACAGGTGAACAGGCGTTCCTGTCCATATTTCTGCCAAAAGTTGAAGAGAAACATAAAAAACAAGAAAGTTGGTCTCTTTATCTTTTAGTAGACCAGAATCGTGGCTGTTATATGAAAATGACCAGAGCAGTTATCAACACAGTTAACTGACTCCTTAACAGTGGGTCATTCTGGGCCACATAATGGGATAGGGAGAGGAAAGATCAGGTGACATCTAGTTCTGTTGGCCTTGTTCATATGACCTTGGGCAAATCACTTATCTTCCTTAGGTTTCAAGCTAAACATTTGCAAAAAGAATATTCTAGACTGTCTCAGAGTTGCTGTCGATATACAGTGGATATAATATATGAAGACAGATCCTAAGTTGATTGAATCCAACAGAGATACTAGGTATTGCGATGGCCTTGGTAGCAATACCTACTGATTAGTGAATGTTTCATGAGTGACTTCTACTCATCAAGTAGAAATCTTCACTTTAAGCCTGTGAGCGCAACAACATGATAGATCATGTAGGTCCAAAATGAGTTAGAAGGGGCAGAGCCAACTCTGACCTGTGTCACCCCAAAGCCATGTCCCTGTGACCCTACAATAATGGGATAATTCCAGGATCCAGTGTAGGGCAAACATTCCAGAAGTATTTGTTCTTTTCTTCAAATACTTCCAAAAACCCCATTCAGAATAAGAATCTTCATCATAGACTATATATGGCTCTAGGGAGAATCTGATGACTTAAGTTTGATCTCTTTAAAACTCAAATTTTGTCCATACAGAAAAGCATAGTTAGAAGTCACCAGGTGGGGGAGGGGAGGGAGAGAGAGAGAGAGAGAGAGAGAGAGAATGTGTGTAAGCACACACTGTACACATAGATAATAAGGATTCAATTGCTGTGACAATTTACCCCCCTGAATTGTCACTGGTCATGAGGCAGCAACATTCAAAGTCATAACTTGATGATTACCTTGGATGAAACTCACAGACAGAACAGTCCCTCTTTATTGACATAACTGCCATTTTCGTTCTCACGTCTGTTGGCCGTCCCCTCCTTCCTGTGGGTGAGCTCATCTGCTTGCTTACCTCACTGAACAGAGCAGCATTGGTTCTGGCCTTCACCAGCTGAGGCACATCCTGTGGCAGCGTGTAATTCAACTTATTTTTCTCATAGTCAGCACGGTAATTCACCTGTTGGCATTAAAATAAACCCACAAGGTGAATGCAAAGCTTTACATGGCTTTGGAGAGGACACTCTCCTTTCCCATTAAGCTGATCACAAAGGAGTTTCTGGAAAAGGGATTTTACAAGGATGCCTGCTATGTTTTAGTGTTTTAAGATAACAGATGTCCGATGAGACGCAAAGCAGCACAGAGGGACAAAATTAACAGTTGGTGCCCACTCTCCCTGTGGGCACTCCCTGGAGAAAATCAGCCCTGCTTTGAAGCACCTGAGGTCAGGAAACCTTCTTCAGGCCGTTGCTTGTAAGTATCCTGCTCTTTGCAGGGTCTCTATGCAGAAGGGTTATCCAATGGCTATCACTGTAAACCCCACAAGAGAGCCAGACATAGGTGATACCCAATGGCACCACCTAGCATCATCCAAGAAGGAGTCTTGCCCCAAATCGAACCTGAACCCATGAAGTCTACAGCTCCAACCACTACTTCACGGGGCATTCAGAGGCCAGCCACCTCCTCCCCCCCCCCCCCCCCCCCCCAAAGCACAAAGGGCATCGGACTTTGGGGAACTTTACAGGAGCAACAATCCAGTTTCTTCAAAGAACAACCAGTGAGAGAAGAGTTGAAGGAGGAAACTTAAAATGTAGAGTTGAACACAAAGTGTAGATATTTCTGGCACTGTGATTCAAAGAAATTGGTCAAAGGGAAAAAGTGATCACCTACAAAACAATCAGAATTTTGAATGTTGATCACTGGTGATAGTAAGAATTATTGTTTGGGTTTGGGTACAACATATTGCAATAAATAGCCAAATTTTTTCTTTTTAAAGATTAATACTGAAATATTTAAGGATTTGATTATAGAATAGCTGGGATTTTCTTCAAAATTCCATGGGGCGAGGGGAGAGTATGGGATCTACACGAAGCCCCTGAGTCAACAGTCACTGAGGAGTGTGATGGGAACGTGGGCCTTCTTCCTGCTGTCCACTTTTGAAAGTACTTAAAAATTTCCATAATAAAAAGTTTAAAGGGAGGGCTCATTTCATTTCCTGGTTGTAAGAAAGTGTGTGTGTGTGTGTGTGTGTGTGTGTGTGTGTATCTCTATTCATTAAAGTCAAATATTAGGGAACCATACAGCCAGAAGCTGCAAAGCAATCCCAAGACACCCCCACCCCATCTGCCAAGCAGGGGCTGAGGGGTCACTTACGTGACTCAGTTGCTGGGCGTTGATTTTGGCTTGAACAATCTGAGGGGTGTCAGTCACAGAGCTGTACTTCAACTTGTCAATGCTTTGCCTGTAGTTGACCTGGGTACAAGCAGGCACAGGAAGAGTCACTTACTCTTACTTCTAAAATGGCCTCAGCTCCCTACCTCTAAGCCCAACAGAGTGGTGATGCTCAACTACCAGAGAAATAACCAAAATTTGAAACTACAGACCAGCAGGCACAGTGGTCCTGCAGAGAGAAAACAGCACCTTCAAGAGCGAGTAACCTGAACAGGTCCCTGAGCTCAAAAGCGACTCAACTAAATGGCCAGCGGGAAAGTGTTGACCCTTCCCACTGGCCAGAGACAGGCCTTCTAAAGCGGCTGCCACACCTGTGTCCCGCCTGGTCTGAAGAGTGGAAGCAAGCTGCAGACGAGCAAGTGTAGGCAAAGGCGAGGAGCCCAGGAAGCTCCCAGAAGCTCAGGCTGGCACCCACCCTTTCCCTTTGGAAAAGTCTGGCAACAGTCCTATCCTAGACACTTTCCCAAAGAAATGACACACACCTGGCACTGATCACCATGCAAGCTATAGGTCAATATCCGGGTGTGTTTCTACTTATCTCTTATACTTCAAAAGGAAAGTTTTGGTTGTTTTTTTCAGGAAAGGAAAAATGAAAGCGCACAGTCACCCAGCCAAGGCCCAGCATAGCTTAAACAGGGGTCACGGTGTACCCCGCTGCTCACGTCTTCCTACTGCACACCCAGCCCCGCCTGGCCCACGTCCCCCACGAGACTGCCCTGTTCTCGGCACTTTTATGGAAGAGGGTTGGGAGAGAAGGCAGTGGAACCTCCAGGGCAAGACGGTGCCATGAACCCTGTTTCTGCTATGTTGACATTGGGAGCTCGTGAATTTTCTATTTGAAAGTACAAATTGCAATTCAGAGAGTTAAAATTATTAGTCATTTGCACTTAAAAATATATTCATGTCATCTGCTTATTTTCCTCCAAGTGAGCCCCAGATCTGCTGCAGAGAGAATGGGTACTTGAGCAGAGAGGCAAAGGAGTACGTTGGGCTTGAGGGCCTGTCACGAGGGCTGAGGCAAGCTGAGCAGAGCCCCTGTGACCTGCACAGGAAGGGCAGCCAAGATACAGGTGGGGGGAGAAAAGGAAGAGGCTGGGGGTGGCAAATGACCTCTTCTACAATTTAACCCAGAGTTGGCCCTAAATCCAGGTAAAACAGGAAAAGTGAACTCATTCTGACCTTCTTGTGAGTATCTGGTCCCCTATCAACCCCCATCTCATCCATCCATCCATCATCCATCCATCCATGCACAATTTCCAGTCATTCCAAAGAAACCCAAGTCCATATTATTACATAAGACCTTGCAAGTTTAAAACTCTTCCCAAAACCTCAATATTTTGAAAATTCATTGACCCAGGTGAAACTGACTGAAGACGAGCTTGTCTACCCCTCCTCTTCCTTGTCCTCACTCCATTCGTCCTTGTCCTGATGTCAGTTAATAATAATTATGGTGAAAAAAGAACATTACATGCTTGGCACTATTTCAAGTGCTTTTGCACATAGCTAGAGACTTAATCCTCAAAGTCACAGTAGGTACTATTATTAGCTCCACCTTGCAATGTGAAAACTGAGGCACAGAGACCCCAAGTGACGTGTTCAAGCTCACACAGCTGGTGTCAGAGCTGGGATTCAGATCTCAGCAGTCTGCCTCCCAACATGGCTTTCAATTTCAACAACACAAGTCTGATTTGCCAAAGTTGGTGGAACTATTATTTATTCTTTTACAGATGCACCAGCAGCTCCCCATACACAGAGCAAACATTGCTTAGACAGGGAAATGGATCCCAGGTGCAGACAAATGACTTACAAATGTACTCCTAGAACAGGGAAAACTGAGAGTTCCTGACACAGGGCCACAGAGTGTCTTGCTGGATGTGGAGATAAAGGCAGTATTATTTTGTGATTTTTTAGTTAATGACACAGGAGGAAAATTGTTTGCACATTCTGAGTGTTGGATGTCGGATATGCAGGGAATAATAAGAGATATAAAGTCATTTTAATGTTAACTGTTAGTGAGATTACAGTGGCTTCCTAATGCATTAATTCAGAGAGAAAATTATCTCATAATAAAGTCTATTAGAATGCAGAATTTTTCAAGATACAGTGTCACAAAAAAACACTTTTAAAATAGCATGTTCCTTCTCGATCATCCTGCATTAGGTCTATGGCAGAGCACAATTACTTTCCTCTGCAGGACATCATTAGCAACGGCCATGATGAATCACATCTTTGCAACATCACAGATGTTGGCTATTGCTTCTGTCTATCTTCTGAAGGCCTGTTTATGGAGGATAGAGTCTCATTTTAATGTTATTAATGTTTATTAAATCCACGTTAAAGGAATACTCTCTAATAAAGGATTTGTGTTTGTTTATTTAATTCATAGTTATTTGACCACTCCAAGGCTATCAGACAGAGACCACAAATGTTCTTGTAAAAGGATTTCCCAAACTTCCTGACCACTAAAGTCCCTCTGTTAGGAGTGGCAAACTCAACTTCACCAGGAACCAACAAGGTAAGAGAAAGAGGAGTAGGATGAGCCTCCCCCGCTCATTCCCTGCCAACTGCTGGAAGACAAGAGCCAGAGCAACAGTTTCCTATGCAAACTTTCATGATGTCTACATATTGGTTCAAACACAATGTTTTTTGTTTGTTTTTTTTTTTTTTTTTTTTTTACAACACTGTGTAGCCCAATAAAATACCTCTGCAGCCTGGCCCTGGCTCACCAGTGGCAAATTTAGAACCTATCTCTCCTTCCAATTGAGATATTTCTAATCTGATCTAGTTTAAATCTTCTATCAGACCTCCCCAGGCATGCCGGTTGTATTTGTGGTGTGTGGTTTGAGCTACAGTCTTGTATCAACAAAGGCAACAGCAAGTCATGTTAAAATGGGTATACAAAAGTGTAGGAATCTTTCTCATTATGCTTGTGTATTAAGCATGATTTAGAGAAGTCTACTACAAAGCACACACTTAAATTTTAATGAGGCATCTGGATCTTCAGGTTTCCCAGGTAATACAGGCAGCCAAAATAGAAAGGACAGAGGCTTGGTAGTCAGCCCGAACTGTGTGATTCGATAAGGTGAAATGAATGAGTCAATTCAACCAAAAGTCCTGGAAAAAGCTGCACACTTTTGGCTCTTGATAGTCCTCTCCTATCTCTTTCTTTGTTCCATGTTTGGAAAGACCCTTACACTTGTGGAACTAGCACTGGCAAGGATTGGGTTTAGCTGACCAGCAGCCTGGGCTAGACACTGAGATGCCAGTTGAAGCCACCAAAACCCCACCTTGAGCAAAGGAAAGAGAGAGAGAGATGTGAAGACCTATCACTGACAACAAACCCAAGTCAACAAGGAACTAAGCAAAGGAAAGTGAGGTCCAGGGGCCACTCAGTACTATGTGCTCAATTATTGGTCAAATGATCCACTGATTGGAGGTAACTGTTGCAAACACCCATGACCCGATTCAGTTTTAACCCACCTTAAAAACAGTGACCTGTATTAAGTACTTTTTAAGGAGTAGATAACCATTCTTTTATTCTATTGTTTTCTAAATTGTCCCTAGTAAACATATAATAAAATTCTTATAATTAGAAAATGCCAAATTTAATTAACAACACATACTTTGTTGGGGATGAGTTAAGCTATAAATAAGTCAAATCACTGTAACAATGAGTAAGTGATCTATATTATTTTACAACTATTTCCCAAGTGCTCCTGAGAAAACTATGAAGGCAAATTACTTCTCAGAAATTCCTTCAGTCCTTAAACATATTCCAAAATTAAAAACAAACAAAAATGCACACCCTTGCTAAGGAATAATTACTTAAATGTGATCAACAACAGATCAAACACTAAGAGTTGAAACAGAACCTCAGGGTATTTAAAATGAAACTGGATTTGACCCCACCTTGCACTGAAAACCTACATCTAAACACCAACAAATGGACCTTTCAAATTTCTTGGTTCTCTTCCTTCTCCTGTGCACTGTTGGTATCTTATCTCTTTCCTTCTTCCTACCCAAGAATCCCCTCACAGGAGGAAGAGGCAAGAAATGAAGCAGAAATATGGAAAAGGACTTACATCTTTCAAGGGAACCAACTTCATCGTGGTTTGATAGGAAGGAGTGAGCGTGGCAGGGTAGTTATAGTCAACGATGTCGTGCTTGTAGTCGGCCTTGTAGGCGACCTAAACAACCAGGAAAGAGCAGGAATAGGGAGATTAGCTCCCACTTCTTTTGACCTTTGTGGAATGTCATCGGAAATATTTAAAAAGCTACCAGAAATAAAATGAACTAAGTTATACCACATCCAACAAAAACTAAATTATGCACACACGTTTGCCTTTAATTAAGTTGAATTTGTCTCCTTAATTTATCCCAAATTAGTCAACTTCCATCTGTACATTTTCTTTATCTTTTCTACTAATTAAGACAGCCTTGTAGGTTTTGTTAGAAAGACACATTTGCATGTAGTGTACAATGAAATCTTCTTAACTAGCCTCAAGAAAATAAATGAGAAGTAGAATCTGCAGATTAATTATTTCTCTAAAAGGAAAACTTGACATTCTCAAGCAGAGTAAATTTGACATTTGTATGTTTTAATAACAAAATGTTACTTTTAAGTGTCCTTCACCTCCCAGATTTACAATTTGGCATTTGCAAATCTATACACTGAATTGACAAAGCCAAAGAGAGATGAACAGATCATATGCAATGGGGAAAACAGGGTCCTGCCCTGGTTTGTTTCCTACTCCCTGCCCTGTGCCTGGTCATAGGAGGTCTTGAGTGGACACTGGTGGAATAAATGAATGAGTTAAAAGCCAGCCAACCCCAAATAAATCATCAATACTTTGGAAACTGAAAGAATTTCAAACAAGAATAAAATTCACTTTATCACTTAGAAAAAAATGAAGTTTCTGCTCATAAGGGCTTAATTATAATAGATCTAAGTCCTGTGTAAGCTAAAGAAAGCAAAGTTAAATGCTTTTTGGAGAATTCCAAGGCTTTTACCTAGCCTCAGTTATATTGGTTAACATTTAGAAGCCCTCAAAGGTCAGTTTCCACACAATAGAACTCTGATATTTATTTTAAAAGGGAAGATTGAAAAAGGATTGGCGGGTTCCTCAGGCCTAACCCCAGCAAGAAGAGCCCAGGACTGCTCGTCCTTCACCAAAAAACTCACATTGCTTGCCAGATTTCTGACTTTCATCGCGTGGAGAGTCCGTCTGTCCATACCGACTCCTTCGTAGTGACCTTTCATGTGATTCTGGTAGTTTTCTTTATATTTATTCTACATGGGAACACAAAACTTTGAACAAATGCATTTTCTTGCAACTCGTTGACAACAGACAACTCACCTGAATGCACCAAGTGGGGAAGACTGATTAAATAAATAGAGCCTGATTAAGTAGTTGGTGTGACACCAAATAAAGAATAAGCCAACCTTTTAAAAAACAAGGCCAATGTCAAGCAAGCATAAGTATGGGAATGAAACAAGCACACATGAAAACGGAATCTGTAAGCACAGACAGAATGAAACAAATCTAACTTTTAAAATCACTTTCAGTAGTAAATGTGCCAGATCTTTCCAATGTGAAAGTTGAAGAGTACAGAGCTCCCCAATGGAGAAGCACTGTTTGTGCAGGAAATATATGCCAAGCCACTGTCTAGAGGCTGGTAAAAATCACTGCATAGGATTACTTCCATGTCTAAATATATGATGGATCAATCTGAGCTTATTTAAATTCTGTGACTTTTATATCACAGATGGCTCACTATCGCAACCATGTGAAATAATTGATGTAATGTCCCAAACACAGCTTTTTAAATAAAGAGAGAGAGAGAGAGAAAAAAAAAAAGAAAACCAGGATGATGAGAAGTCATAACTAGGAAAATCTGAGTAACTTCTAAAGAAATTACATTAAAATCACCTATCCTGGGAGGCCACTGAATTTCCAAGCACTGAGTGTATTTAAACAGAATACTATAACTTCTCTATCAAAACTGATTCTACTTATCTCAGTTAATCTTCACAATACCCTATGAGAAGGAAGGAATTATCACACCCATTTTAAAGATGGGCAAGGTGACTCAGAGAGATGAAGCAATTTGCCTGAAATGGACCACTGGTCTCATTATGGAACCAGGCCAGCCAGCCCCAAAGCTGATGCAAGTAAATATTTCACTAAACCTTACGGAATCCCTTGAAATTTTAGATCTTGTTATTCTATGGAGCTCAGCAGAACTAAAACCAGACAATCTAGTTTTGGTCCTTGATCTTCACAAGGAGGCTTCCCAGACCTTCTCTGGGAATCCTCAAACTTGCCAGTGTCACTCTGCTCATCTGTATGGTGGGGAGGTAACATCTGGCTCCCTGGGTGACTGTGAAGGTTAAATGAGATCATGTATTAACTACAAACCACAAGTCGTGTCGAGGAGTCACGTCCATGCTCAGCCAGCCTCCTTGCTGATGTTGGCCACTCAGAAAGGAACACTACTCAGCACAAAGGATGCAATAAGACAGATGCCATCCTGAGATCTCAAGGTCAAGGTGTGGCCAGGCATGTGGCAGGTATAACCGTGCATGGAGCAGTCCCCACAGGCAACTTAATCAAAGCTTATTGGTATTTATGCAGAAGAAACCATGCTTCTCCAAGACATGGATACATTCATCTAGACCATCCCTTAGGAGATCTACAATGGAAGGTCATTTTTTAAAAGTCCAAACCAATGCTTCATCATTGAAAACTCACATCACTGGTGAATTTTGAGATCTTGCTCACGTTCCTGAATTGAGGTGTTTCACAGTAGTTGATACTGTGACCTTTACTGCTTTCCAGATCCTTCTTATACTCCACCTTGGAAAGCAAAACACCAGAGGCACAACAGAACCAAACCGGAAGTCATTCTAGAAATTGTCAAAAGGATTCAACTAGGGCATTTTTAGAAAATTATCAACCCTAGATTTTAAAATAGATAGCATGAATGTGTTGGTGTTTTCCTTTCTAGTAATAAGTAAGCAAATGACCAAACAATCAGGGTTTTTCCCTGAAAATTAAAGAGAGAAAGGGTAAGTATGTGAGTAGGTAGGTAGGTAGGTAGGAAGGTAGGGGGAGAAGAGAGAGAGACATACACAGAGAGAGAGAGAGAGAGAGAGAGTCCCTTCTAACAGGAAATACTGGTAAGATTCCATGTAGCTAAAAAAAATGACAAAACTGGTTTTAGAAATTAGGAGGTGGTTACTCTTGGTAGAAGTGCCTGGAGGTAGATTAGGATGGGATATCTGGAGCTCTGATCATGTTCTCTTTCTGATCTTGGTGCTAGTTACACAGATGGAAATCCCACTGGACACTTAACAACGGATGTACTTCTAGTACATACACTTCAATACAAGTTAAGCAAAGATGTTAGCTCACAAAGGACTGCTGTAAACGACACCATTCATACTGCTGAGAATGGTCTCATTTTAAGTAGCTGAGCTGCCCCTGAATATAAAACTGCTGGATATAAAATGTAAGTTATAGTTATTAACTTGCTCATCCCAGGAATTTGGAGAAGGCAACTGAAGACATATTAGTTAGTAAAGGTCTCTCTTCCTGGATAAAAGTAAAGGTAAAAAGAAATGGAAGCTTTCCTTGTGACCTCTTACCAAAGGAAACACCATTTGTTATCACGTATGACAAGACATCTCAGGAATATACCTTTTAAAGTCTGCTCACAATAAAAAAAAAAAAATACACAAAGCTGTATATACAGTTGAATTCTAATTATACAAATGTGCTTTTATATTTACACATTTGTCTCCAGTATATTCACATAGAAAAAGTCAAAATATTGAGTGTTGTTATTGCTGGTAGAACTATCACATCCTAGGCCGAGTTCTATCCCTAAAGTTTCTATAAAACCAGAATGAGACACTTCACTTTTCAGATCTCTGACAAAGTATGCGTCTAAACTTGTGGGGGTCCCAATGAGAGCTTAAGACCAAGGGTCAACAAATCTCTTCAATAAATGACCAAATGGAACATATTTTAGGTTTGGCAGGCAACACAGTCTACATTAACTACTGGACGCTAACCTTGTAATTTGAAATCCACCATAGACAACATGTAAACAAATGACATGGTCCTGTGCCAATAAAATGAGTTAACATATTGCAGCCAGGTTTAGTACCCAAGTCATAGCCTGCTGACCTCAGGGCCAGAGCAGCAGAATCACATGCGACATTTGGTTAAAATGCAGATTCCAAGGTCTTGGCACCCATCTACCACTTTGAAAAATCTGAGACTCCTAATGAGGCTCTGGAAATATCACTCCTTGTGATTCTGACTATCCGAAGGAGAAGAACACCACCAGTTAACCTAAAGGTTTGGGACAAAGGGCTGACCTTGAGGCTTGAGCAGAAAAATATCTTAGGATATCTGCATATCTGTTTCTGAGTCACACCTTGTTATGTGAATACTTTTAATAGCCTTGGGCCAAACAGGTAATGCATGTGAGAGAAGGTACTAGAAGAGAGACTCTGGGATGTGAAAAGGATAAAGGGGACAGAGTGACAGAGGGCATATTTCCTCACCCACAAGTCCTAACAATTCTAGAAAGCTCAACCATTGGGTAGGTTAAACAAAACACCTCCACTCAGCCTCCAAAGGATTCATACACTAGCTTTTCCTCATAGCCCTGACCTGTAGACCTGCCAATGAGCCGAACCAAATAACGGGAATCCAAGTTCAAGATACTCTCTCTGGTCTTTGATTTCCACTCTATAAAAAGAACATATTACTATAAAAGTTGCCTGTATAGCATTCCATCTGCTGGAAATGAGATGCCTGAAACTTCTGAATAAACACAGCCCTGAGATTTGGGGAAAAGATTTTTGCACCATCAAAGGAGACTTAGTTTGTTGGGTTCCAAGTTGTCTTGTAAATCACATAGTCTGTCTCTGGAACTGGTATCTCATGTGCAGTTTGTATGGTGTTACAGGGAGATTTCATTCAGGGGTCACCAACTTTAGGGGCGAAGGGGGGAGGGCAGCACAGAGATGCGAGTGTCCCCGTACGTACATCGCTCACAAGCTTGTTCACACTCTGAGCTCGCTTGAGGACCAAGTTGTCTTGGGCGGGAAGGGAGTGATAATGGGCCGCACCTTTCATCTTATTGAAGTCTTGTCTGTATTTTATCTGAAACACACACACACACACAAAGAGGAGCTGCAGTTGTTTTCAAATCCCATGAAAGAAGTCACTCCAAAATCACCCCACATTTAATGTCAACATATACACGATAGCATTTTCTGATGGCAAAATCATATTAGTGGAATTTTCCCACTATATCCATAAACCACCAATAGTAGCATAGTCCTTTGTATTAACATTTTACTGGCCCTGGTCACATGTTTACCCGTTACATTTTAATGCTGCATGAAGAAGAGTGTTAAAACAATGATTCAACAGGTATAACCCCAAACACATCCTGCAGGGGTGTCAACAATCATGTGTCATCTAGCCTGTCACTGAGGGGCAAAGGGAGTGAGGTGTCTTTTACTTCCCTTCTCAGGGCATAAATGCACTATTCTCTTTTTTTTTTTTTTAAGATTTATTTATTTATTCATACAGAACTGGTGTACAGGCCAGAGATGAGGAGGGTGAGAGGAATCACCAGGGACAGAGAACAGGCAGATTGACAAAGTACACTGCTGAGGGGAGCAGCGGGCGAGTCAGGAGAGGTCTGCCGTGCCATGTGGGCACCATGTGGATCTCCTCCAGGGCAGGAGGGGATTGAACTCATGCGGAAGTGGCTTAAGTTTCTTAGTGCTGTGCTTTAACCCGCTGCACCACCAGGGAGGGCCCATAAATGCACTATTCTGGGAAAATGGGCACTGACCGAACAGTGGCAGAGGGAAGGAGGCTCAAAGGGGCTGTGAAATGAAAGTCAGCTTCTGATTATAGGCCAAGTGCAAGGTAGTGTGTCAGATCTACAGTGTCAATGTCATTTTACCTAGTTTAATTACAGTCAAGCTTTCAAGGGCTATCAGCAGACTAATATTCTGCCGATAAATCACTACCCACTGGGTGTAACCCAGTTCGATAATGAGGACGTATTTCAATCAGGTGTCCCCCTAAAGTTGTCAGTTCCTAGGTGGGTGAGTTGATGAAGGCTCCTAATCAGCCCCTCAGGCTGGAGCACGCTGGCTCTTGGTTCAACTGACCTAAAGTGGGGTAAACCATTTGTCCAGATCAATCTCCTTTGAAGCAGATCACTGTGACCAAACAGTCAAACAAGAGAATGTCAGAAGTGGGGATGGAAAGCGAGGCTAAAGCTCTACTTGGCTGAGTTCTGATACATGCATCTGTGAGTAGCATTTCTCCTCTGCCTCTGTGGTGCGGTGGGTCACCCCAAGTGGTACTTACATTACTGGCGAGTTCATTGGCTTTCTTGGCGTTCTGATAAGCTGGCGTGATCATGGCCGGGAAGCTGCCCTTCCCTCTGTGCTCATCACACTCCTCTGCGTAGCCCTGCTGGGTCAACCCAAAATTTCAGTAATGCTCCCTCCTGGAATGGGAGAGTGGGGCTGGCAATGAGCTCTCCTGGAGCTTGCTCTGAGAGGCCACTCCACATCGGCCATCCCAGTGACCACACCGGGAACACCGCTCTGTTCCACCTGCAGTTCAGCTGGCAGACCCTGCAGCTAGGCCTACTTCCTGGGCCCAGCCACAGTCAGCTCTAAGTGAGTGATAGCTGCTAACACTGCTGCCCTCACCATTCCCACCAGATACAAGGAGAATCCACCAGTCTCCAAGAGCCTTGTGTGAGGTAGTGATCCTCTCTTAGCAGACACCCAGAAAGTCCCTTTGCCGTCCTCTGGTCTACCCGCTACCCTTCCCGGCCCATTAGCAGATCCACACAGAGATGCACTGACACCCCCAGTTCTATCTCCCGCAGGGAGGTAAGTCATTTACTATTGATAACTATCTGAATTATTTTTCATATGGGGGCACTTAATCCTACAGGGGAGTTGACAGGTTAGAAACAATAAGTTGAACACATAGTGTAGTCTATTAACCTAAAAAAAAATGGCTGCTCAAGAAAAGGAATTGTTTGGCATTTGAGCACTGTGGATATTTATAGTTTATCTGCGGTGTGCCTGCTCTTTCCCTCCTGCCCACTCTCGCCCTGGGGAGTCCCGCTAAGCCCAGAGCGAATGCCAGTCCTCTCCACAGCTGTCAGCGGTCCTATCAAGCAACACCCACTCCCAGCTTGTATTTGTTCTTTCCAGAACTGGAAACTTCAGTCAAAATGTCCTAATAGTCAAGAACCTTCTAAAACACTATAAGGCTACATTGCATGGATGTGTATGGATATGTATGAATGTGTAGATGCAAATAAGAAATTATATATGTGCGCTGTAACTAGTGGCAGATAATTACAATCCAAATATAGAACAAAATGTTTTTTTGACAAAGACAGACATCAACTACTCTTTAATAAAGCTGATTTATGTAATTTGCCCTGAGACGTTTAAGCAATATATTTAGAACAGGAAACCAACATAATATTGGTTTGGTGGCATTTAAAGCACTAAAAAACAGCTTAATAATGTATCAAGGGATCTCATAAACTGTTTTTTTTTATTCAAAACCAATTTTTCTTTCTCATAGACATTTTCAAAGGAAACTTAATGAACCCTCAAGTACATCTTCACTATTCTGCAAGTATATCCCCATACGTAAGTTGAATAAGTCACATATACTATAGTCTCCCCACTGCCAAACAATTCAAATGATTGTTTAATTAAGAAAAAAAATGTCATCTAAGCCCTCTTCCAACACATGTATATGGTCTTCAAAATTCTCTGTTTACAGTAGTAAAATGCTCCCTTTCTCCTCTAAACCACCTGTCCAGAGCCAGAGAATAGAGAGGACTATGCAAAAAAAAAAAAAAAAAA